CCCCAAAACCCCAAAACCCCAAAACCCCGTCAGTCAGAAATAGACTAGGATTATATTAGTAATTCTTTAAGAATCAGCGATGAGTATTAAATAATATATCTATAACCATATCAATCAAATATAATTTCATTATTCTCCTCAATAGTATCAAAGCGATCTAAATGCGATCCTCCCTTTAACTTTTGAGATAATGTACTGTCTTTGCTGTAATAAGTTTAAAGCATTTAGTACTATTATTCACTCCTTAGAGAACCATGATGTCTAAATTAGTTATTAGAGCTTGAATTTGACTTTTTATGTGAATTCCATCTCCCTAACTGAAAATAGTTTGAGCCTCCGAGTGAGTTTTGTAAGCCGAATTTTTATAATGACTTAAGACTGTCAAGGCCAAAACTTCTTTAGTTCTAATATATGAAATCATCATTTTTGTTTTAAAAAGTGTTATAGTTTTTCAAAACAGCTTCTTCACTTGAGTTATAATGATCATAATTTTCATACCGTTAATAATTTCTGTTTTTCTTGCTTCCCCTGCTATTTATAGAGTGCCTTTATTTCTTGAATGAAGATAAGTTGTATAAATTTGAGTTAATATTTGTAGTTTCAAACTACCCGTTTGGGTCCTCCATAATAATATCCAAAGATAGTCTACGATTATAGTCATTGTAGTACTATTCACCGTGATATAGTTTGGAATTCAAACTCAATGTAGTGTCATTTGTGAATTAGTTATGAATAGATAATATATTTTATCTCTAATCTTTTGCCTTTGAATCAGAAGATTTTGATTATTTAACTTTACTAAGCAAAGTAAATCTTTCTTTGAGGATAGCGGCTGGCTTTTTTACGAAATGCTTTGATATTTTGATCCAATCATTGTGATATAAATTAGCTAGTCTTAATAATTTTTGATCCTCATCTTTTGTAAAGGATTGTACTTTTTTAATAAGTTCATTTTTCTGTTTTTGTAAATTTAAATCTTCTTTCTACTAATTAAGCATATCTAATTATTATTTTTGATTTATCTGTGGAAAGCTTTTTTTATTTACCTCTTATTATTAAACTAATATGTTTTAATTTTAGTTTGCCAATTATTCTTATATTAACTCAACTACATCAACTACGTTTATTTTTTCAATGGCTTTTATTTTTCCTTTAAGGACATTGTTAAATCTATCCTTTACTTATTAAGAAGTTTTGCTAGGAATATTTTTAGACACTAGTTTCCAGTTAGCACCATATTTTTTGTATCCCTCTATAATTTACCTATCAATATCCTCAGACCAATGAAGTTTATTTTATACTTAGTTCTATGGCATTTTGATTTGCAGAGCCCTTTTCAAGCACTCTTCTGCTGTTTTAGTGGCAACCATCTCTGAAATCTTTTTCCAATTACCTGCATACTTCTGAGTAGCTAAAAGCAGATACTGATCATCATCTTTAGTCCAAATTCTCATGTTTTTTGTTTCAGTTTTGTTAAACTTAGTCTTCTATTTTCTAGTGATTACCACAACTTCATCACTGACAACTTTTTCTTCTACTTCTCTGCAGTCACAATTTCTTAAAGAAAATGCATTCTTCAAATCTCTAAAGAATTTCATAGACTTTTCTCTAAAATTAGACTTAGGTCTCTCAAGCCGCTAAGTTTATTGAGGCAAATCAAAATCAGATTCAGATTCAAAAAAGGATTCCGAGCTAATACAATTTTAGTTCATTCTCTCAAAATACCCATCGCATTTAAATTTATTGGTCTTGGGCTGGTTAATCTTGACTGATGATAAATCTAGTTTAGTGAGAAAATCAGTGGAAAGAGATTCAGTGAGTTGCTGTTCTGGTGTTTAGTCAGTTGTAATACTGCTCTCAAGCTATATCCTCTAAGTTTTTGAGTGCATTTTTATTAAGGAACAAATAAATATATACCTATATTAATATTATGCAATTTAAACTTAGAATATCATCATTATTCTGACTTTTACACTATTCGATAAATTTGGCTATGAGGGGTTTTGGGGTTTTGGGGAGATCGGAAGAGCACACG